TCGCTGGAGCGAACCTTAGCGACCCAAGACTATTCTCGCTCCCATGAAAGATCTCCTTCCTTTGAAAAAACTTCCCTTGAAACTGTTTTATTAGAGCCCCTGTGTCTCCTGCACCCTCCTCTGAAGAACCTTTTCACCGTCAACCCCAGTCTGGTGGAACCCTTTCTCCTCCAGCGGAATAGGGTTTGAAGCTTTGTGTCTCTGGCATTTGGACCTTCTCAATCATCAGGGATGCAAGGGTCTTTTCCGCCATATGCTTTGTGTTGAATAATTTCATATTTCTCGAAATTATAAATATTAGAGTTTTAAATTTTGGGGACTTAGAAGTTCATTTTGTTGGACGCTGCAGTTTAGACCGATGTTTGTTGACCTGTTAGTTACAGATCAGTATTTATCGGTGCGTAGTTACTAGTTTGATTTTGTGAATCTGTCTTTACGAAGCAATATTTGAAGCTCTGTGTTGTGATATACACGAGCTTTATTAGGTGTGTTTCCAGCCTGGTGCGTGCGTGAAAAACATACCACACAAACTTTTTTATTCTGAAGAACTTTCGACATAAGCTGAATTTAATCGAGTCGTCTGACGTGGGTCTCACTCGATCAGGAGGATGAATTCTAGCGGGTCTCCATGCCCAGAAAGTAGCAGCAGTAACAGCGTGATGGGCATGGGCAGTAACGGCCTGGGTGTAGGTTCACCCAGTTTCGCAGCATCACCCCTCACATTCGGAGCGTCAGACCACTACACCACCGGCGCGGCCAGTTACAACAGCGACTATAACGGCTCTCCCTTGAGCCAAGCTGCCAGTAATTTTAGCGTGTCTTCTCCGGGGTTTCTTCCTCCCTCTGACTCCAACACCTCCCCTGATCCTGCGTTCTCGTCTTCGGATTTCTCATCCTCTGCATATTCGAGATCGCCTGCTCAAGGTTTATCTGCGATAGATAATTATTTCCCGCCTAATTTATCAGCGTCTCCATCATTTCCAACGTCCCCCGAATATTCCTCGTCTAATTTGCCGCTATCGTCCAGCCTTTACGCCGCCAACATCGGATCTTCGCCACCCCCTAACTTCCTAGGCAGTATTCCTGGTAAGTATAAACTTACATTTCCCAGAACAGCTCGTAAAATTATTGTTTAATTACCTATTCAATGGGTTAAATTATCTTACATACTCTGTATCAATTTTGATTATGTTCCCATATGCAAGATCTTTAGTTAAAAGAACTGAATGTTCGAAAATTCGTTCGCCAACGCCTGTAGCGCCGAAACATCATTATGTGAACTCATTGAATTAGTGATATTCTTTGTTATAAATAAGACGACGGCTTTTATTCGACCAAGTTTGCTCGTCGGTTGCGTGCTTGCTTGCGCAGACGGATAGATGATTGCTTGGCTCCAGCTTGCCCATGGGCACACATTTGGCTGCAGTTTGTTACCTGCCGCAACTGTTATCATGGTCCCATCTGCCTCCAAGCTCAACTTTGGTTCCTAGAACGCAATCTACGATGACGTTTCTGCGATCATTGCTCCTGCTTCTGCTGCCTAAAAGAAGCTTGCTTTCGGGCGCCCATAGGCACCCGACCTTCAGTGAGATCAACGGCTACGCCTCAAGCTGCAAGCACTGCTCTCGCACCCATCATCGACCTTGAGTGCAGAACGCTTGCCATCAACACACGTTTATAGTGCTAAAAATTTCTTGCATTTCTTGCGTCTTCTTAATGAGAACTTTGCCCTATGATTGTACCTTAATGCTCGCTAGTCGAATTATGGTGCACATTTTCGGCATTGACTGTAGCTGTATCGCTAGTTTTCCTTGCATGGTCATTTGTTTCTTATCTCTACTGTGTTCTTTAACTGTACCTTTTCACGCACTAACCAAACTATGGTGCAGATTTTCAGCATTGACTCGAGCTAGCTTCAATTTTTGTGGTATCAACTATGCTCTTTGATTTTGTCTTTACTTTATCGCGTATTAGCAAAACTATAGTGCAAATTTTCGGGCATTTACTGTGCGTATCGCTAAGTTGGCAAATCGATAATGTTCGTTATAAGAGTACCAAATTAACGTACACATTGACTGCACCTTATCGCGTATCGGCAAAATTCTGGTGCATGTGTGTGACCTTGCCTGTGGCTGCATCGTTTGTTCTCCCTGCATGTTCATGATTCCAATTTTCGATGATCCTCTTCCTGATGGGACTGTTAATGAAATTAATGACTGGTTTGGCTGCGGGCCGCTGCATGTAGTCTCAATCTTCGGGGAAGTTTAATTATGTACATTGGACCGAATGTTGCAATCACTATAGATCGCGACATTAAAGGCACTCCTGTTGTTTGTTCTTAGCAGGACGAGGCTAGCTTTACCATTCAGAGATTTAAAAAATGAGACGTATTGGAGGAGGTGTCTGATTTGTGAAGAACTATCCATTATTACTAGAATTTTTGTTTGTAATTTGTTTCCTTGTGTGCCTCTTGCTGCCCAGTTTGCTGCCCTGTGTTCCTCTTGCTGCCCTGCTTGCCTCTTGCTGCCCTGTGTGCCTCTTGCTGCCCTGCGTGCCTCTTGCTGCCCTGTGTGCCTCTTGCTGCCCTCTGTGTGCCTCTTGCGGCCTTGTGTGCCTCTTGCTGCCCTGTGTGCCTCTTGCGGCCTTGTGTGCCTCTTGCTGCCCTGTGTGCCTCTTGCGGCCCTGTGTGCCATTATTATTATTAATATACGGTTTTCTTATCATTACAATCACGGTTTTCTTAGTTGTGGTCATTTCCCTCGTGGTTGTCGCTTCGTCTTGGTCGGAGTTGTTGTAGCGGTAGTAGTATAGTAGCTCTGACGCTGCACTCACAGAAATGAGTGTAACTTTGTACGGATCACTAACAGTGCAGCGGCCGCCGCCCAGTGCCCTCATCTGCAAGTCTAATCCAGCGCTACTCATGGTCCATTGTTCCGACCTGCGAGATGACCAAGCATTTTTTTCCTGTGGCATTCGTTGCGTCTAAAGCCTCCAGCTCAACACTTTACACTCAAAGAAACAAGTGAGAGACTTGTTCAAATATTGATGCATATATTACCCTTATGAGGGTTATCCCGATCTAGTTTGCCCGTGTGAATGCTGCGTGTGAATAGGCGTGTGAATGCTGCGTGCAAAAAGTGTGTCTGGACAATATGTCCCATCCTTTTTTTTGGAGTGTACGTCGCGACCTTGTTGAATTTAGCGACGCTTTTTCGCGTGCATCCTTTGCTACTCATCTTTGTGTATTTATTCATCATTCATCGTGGACGAGCTTTTGGGAGTGAGGACAATGTAGAATAAGTTTGCGTGTTGATTTTTTGCACTTTGATTCTGGGAAGTTTTCGAAAATGAGGCTCGAAATGCCCGATTTCTCGACAAGGTTTTTAACCATAGCGTATTTACGGTTGACATTCCGTGCGCTAGCTCATGATGATGTCGACGTAACCTACCTCAAGTTTCTGTTCCTCAACTCATCTCTCATCGAGACCAACTGCCATTGACTTCTAATATCAATCATCTTGTGACAAGCGTATGTGGGCAGCAGATTTTTATGTCCGTCATGACCAGGCCGTTGTAGAGATGTGGTCCGAGATAACGCCCAGAATAGACTTCACGCAATCATTGATCGGACGCGATTACAACTCCCGTCACATCCAGACCGTATATAATCTTTCAGCTGCCTAACCTCATCGTTGTGATGTGAATGCAGCTTTAATCGTGCACCATATAGATGATGGGGATTCATGGTATCGTTTGTAGAAAATTTCCTGCAATGACCGATAATGCAGATCAATTTTTAATTGAAACTCACAAAATGATATTCCGTGGTACCTTGCATTTATTATCGTGGAGTAAATACGTATAATAATGTTCGGAGCGAACTGAAACATATAGCAACGCAGCCCACATTTCACATGAAGGCAGAGTGTAACGATGATCTTTTCAGAGATCATTTCCCGTTTTGATAGTTCTCCTCTCACTACATCGAAGTTAAAGGTAATATCAAGATTATCATTTGGCCTTTTAAAAGTTATTCGTAGTCGTTTAGATGCGTTATTTGTAATTAGTTAGCTGCCAGCTAACCATATGGACGCAGCTTCAGAAAAAAACAGCCCTACGCTGGAATCCGTTTTTTTTACCTAAACGTCACGAGTTCCACCCATGCATATTGTAACGCAAACGTCGCGATTATTTCCATCGTGCATATTGTGACGCAAACGTCGCGATTATTTTCATCGTGCATATTGTGACGCAAACGTCGCGATTATTTTCATCGTGCATATTGTGACGCAAACGTCGCAATTATTTTCGTCAAGCTTTTTGACGCATACGTCGCGGTTATTTTCGTCATGTTTTTTGACGCATACGTCGCGGTTATTTTCGTCATGGCTATTTTCACCTACGACTAACACCGTAATTGTGGATATATGGGGAAGTTATCGCTGTAGATCAGTGATTAGATTTCTGCTCACGACCTGTGCAACCACAGCCATCAAACACGACTGATATTTCCATTTATTCTTTAATCGTAATTGCTATCGCAATCAATGACTTGTGAACATTGATGAGCCGACTACAGTTGTGTCATATGTATCGAACTATATTGATGTTCATATTATAAAAACCTTTGTTATGTCATTTTGTTATGTCATATTTTGTCTTACTATACAAGTCGATCCTATAATAGTAACATTTTTTATTAATAACATTTCTTGTGTAATATTTGATCCTACTACATTAGTTGATCCTATAACAATATTTGTTGTGTCATATCTGATCCTCCTATATGTAAGTTCATCTTATAATAGTAACATTCGTTATTAATAACATTTTTTGTGTCATATCTGATCCTACTCTTTAAGTTGATGCTAGAATAGTAACATATGTTATTAATAACATTTGTTATGTCATATTTACCGAACTATTAATTGGCGTGGTTTGCAGTATAATTAATTACATTTGTTAACGAGTCTCTCTCTCTCTCTCTCTCTCTCTTTCAGGCGATGACGATGAACGACATCGTTCGAACAATGTCAACCAGGACGAAAGGATGGGTGGGTGAATTGAGTTTCTTTTTTAATAAATGTCTTAATCTAAAGCTTTATTTGCTCCTTCCTCATAATAAGGGCCAGTGTTGATACAAATGGCCTAGTTGTGATGTACCAGAGTGCTCTAACGCTAGATGAATAATTCTTGCTTGTCCGCCCAGAACGAAGCCTTGTCCATTCAGTTCGTATGCTATTTAATTTGTTCTATTATTGTTATTATTAGAGCATCCTGATACATCACAAGCGCATTCTGAATAATGCCGTCATTCATTCATTTACTTTTATCCTCTATTTTAAACCTGCGCTACGTTATACTACAGAAAAAAACGTATTTTTCCTTCACTGGGTCTTCCACATCTACGTTTTTAGTTAGTCGTTTCTTAATTTTAAAAATACTCTATCATGATCCTCTGCACGTATTTACAAATACAGGTTACAGATATAAGCACTTATCTTATCTGAGTTTGCAATATAGTAAATATCAAAACGTACGATATTTTGTGGGCAATTACTCGATTGTACTATGTCTGTTGTTTCCCAAGCAATAAGTAGGAGATGAAATAAATTCGTGGTATTCACAGACCACGAATTTCACAGACCACGTGGTTCTCTGTTGTTCCAGTCGTATAGACGTGCCGACCATTATTACGTATTATTTTAACAGCAATCGTTCTTTCTGTGAATTCGAAGAGTGGACATGATTAGGACTGGGCTTATATAATGCTTGAGACTTCGGAATGTTTGTGACAGAACTTGCCAGCATTTATTAACAGAACAAACACTAACTTCAATGAACATATCATCAAAATGTATTATAATTCACATGACAATGGTACATAATAGTTATTCTTAATGGATTAACATTTAATTATGATACTGGTATTACTTATTATAAAAGGTATTATTAACCACTGCCTGGATGGTATGAAATCTTTGTTATGCTAGAAGTACTTCTGAATAAAGTGGAATGCATCTATATACTAATGGGGAAACTTAACCCATCGGTTATGTTAAGTGAATAAAAAAGTAATGAATATAGTGTGTTTCGAGATTGAAATTCCTGGACTATGATTTCTCTCTGGTTGATTGTCTTTGTATTGTTGAGATCGCGTGTGTCTTGGACGGTCCACCTAGCATCTACAGACCCGTGATTCTGGCTGTTGAAATTGGTGGTTCCTATTAATATTTTAATAATATTAACAAATGTTAATTTCATTTAATACTATGTAATGTGTTCTTAGTTGTAACTACGAACTAAAATCTTGAATGCTCGAATTCAAGAACATCTACGAACTAAAATCTTGAATGCTCGAATTCAAGAACATCTACGAACTAAAATCTTGAAAGCTCGGAGTGAAACCAAGGCTGTGATTCAAAATTTCTTATAACTAATTGAAAATCTCGAAGAATTTATATGTTGATTCTCTTTAATTTTTTTTTTTTGGGGGGGGGGTGTTGCTACTCAAAGCCCTATTGGGGTTAAAATCTCATAAGGTTTATTTTAATATCCAGACGCAAAAATTGTTCATATCGAATTGACTAAATAAAATTAACCGAAAAGAAGAATATCAATGAATATATGAATTCGAAGTTCAGACTCGGTAAGATATCGAAGGCCTTATAGGCTGTGGCATCGAACTCGGCCTTCAGGGCCTCGCGATGCGTCATCCGTGGGCGTCTGGTGAGTGACGCTGCTGCCACGTGGCGTGTTGCGTCCTGCCACGTGGCGTGTGTGGCGTGCTGCCACGTGGCGTGTGTAGCGTGCTGCCACGTGGCGTGTGTAGCGTGCTGCCACGTGGCATGTGTGGCGTGCTGCCACGTGGCGTGTGTAGCGTGCTGCCACGTGGCGTGTGTAGCGTGCTGCCACGTGGCGTGTGTGGCGTGCTGCCACGTGGCGTGTGTGGCGTACGTGCTGCCGTGTGGCGTGTGGCGTCCTGCCACGTTGCGTGTGGCGTCCTGTCACGTGGCGTGTGGCGTGCTGCCACGTGGCATGTGTGGCGTGCTGCCACGTGGTGTGTGTGGCGTGTGCATGGCGTGCTGCCTCGTGGCGTGTGGCGTCCTGTCACGTGACGTGTGGCTTTCGGCCACGTGAGCCGTGTGGCATGTGGCGTCCTGCCACGTGGCGTGTAGCGTCCTGTATCAAAACATAAACTTGAGTACCTCTACGTACGCCTCGCTGAATGAATGTATCAGAAAAATTCTTTTTTTATGATAAGAATTTGAAATATTGTTGGGAATAATCGTCGTGCTTCAATTGGAGCTACGTTGCCCTGACTATCGTCACCAGTTCGAAAATGTCAACATTCCAGCATAATTAATGCATGTTTCTCCTAACAAATTTTATACTTTTGATATTTGTTTAATCGACCGTCTCTAAACTTAGATCAGCCATAGCCATAGAATTTGTTATGCAGAATTTCAGTGAAAATTCGATCAAGAAAACCTTGGTTTTGCACAGTAGCTGTAGTTCAGCATTGTATAGTGTCTGCGTAGAATAATACGCCGAGTTTCTTGAAATGTTCATAACTTGTCTGAGAGCTGGCATTTTGGAGCTGGCATTTTAACAAACATAACAAATCTGAGAGCT